CTCGATTCGTCGTTGATCCTCTAACGAGAAGAAACGAGCTCGCAGGCACAATTTACAAGCTCGAGCGCTTAAAACGTGTCGCTAACAACTGGTCGCGGCGATAAAGCTCGAAAAGAAACGGTCGTTTTCTCCGGGTAAATTGCAAGCAAAACGCTCGCGTACGCTCGCCTACGCTCGACGACGACGACGACGACGATGACTTGACTCCGAAGGAAACGTTAGCAGCTCGCGATAATTGCCACGCCAGCTTGCGTACACAACCCGCCGGGATTATTAAAAATACACGGTGTCCCGCGTAAATATTTCCAGTCGTGGCTCGAGCTCGTCGTGGAAAATAAAAATGAACGAAAGAAAGAAAGCAAGCGTGCACGGATGAAAGGTGAAATAACGAAATAACCAGGTTTTTAGATGCCCCGTAAAATCTACCGTCCACCGGTTGACGATAAACAAACATTGACCCCGAGCCGCGCGTTATTTTTCATTGAATGCTTATCGGGATTTCCAGCAGACAGCAAATACGCTGCCAATCGGTTCCGGCCAATTGAGGTCCGCCGCTTTAAACCGATAAAACTGATTCGATTGCGAGAGGCGCGAAACGACGCGATCGGACGCGCTATCGATTACCGACTAACGCCTACCTGCTAGTTATCGGATGAAAGAATGCCAACACTCTCCGAGTATGTTTTCATAATTAAAACTCCGGAACCGAATTCGCGAGTGCGGCTCGTTTGCGGTCGAAAGAAATAGATCCCCCGAAAAGAACGGCACGTGTACGGTAAGCGCGCGAGACAGATTGAAAATCCATAAAAGTTTGCTCGATTTCAAGCTCGGGAATAAGATCGCGGAAGACGATCGTGCTCTTGTCGCGTTACGCGTTTAGCAAACGTCGTCTCCTATCTCCGATATTCGTGACTGGGCAAATGAATTTCCCCGGGGTAAGAAACTCGTCGACTTGCGCCGATAACAAAACGAGATATTCCGCGAGCATTACGCGGCGAACGGTCGAGTATTGTCAAGAAAGAAGATGGATCGGATAGCGGCGCGATCGCGATACTCGTTCGCTCTGCCGAAGAAAAACAATGAAGGGATCGAACGCGGGGAATTGCTATCGTGTTTCCGGCGCGACTCTGACGGGCGCAGAAATTGCGACGACGTTCTGCGAAAGGCGCGCCCGAGAGAAACGAATTCTAGTCAAACGGCTGTTCTTCCTTTCATCCGTTCGCTTCGTTCCTTTCGCACCGTTTCGAAAGAAAGCTTCTCGATCACTTGATCGATACTTCCAAGGGCATATTAATACGTTTCCGGAAACACCGGAGATGAAACACGTTCGTGCTAATTTGAGCGACGAGTACAAGTAGAACGCTATTATTCGATCGTGTCGTGCCTATTCTACTCGTCCGACGGTACCCCACTAACCGCACACGAGCTTATTGTACAGATTTCTGTACGTCCGAATACCTACGACCAGCGTTTCACCGACGTACCGCATCCGACTGCTCACAACTCTGTTCTACCGACAGAGCATGTCTGACCTCTCACAGTTCCATTCTACTGAATTCTATTCCAACGATACGGCACGCCTGGCCACTTACGACCTTATTCTATTTGTCCGTTGCTTTACCACTGACCTGACCATTGTCTGCCTGCCTACGGACATATACTACTGGCGCGGCGCTTCCACTTATGCTCCTATTCTACCGGTGCGATACCGTTCGCTATCCATCGTTCGACAAATATTGTATTTGATACGCGGGGATTAAAATAACTGAAAATAAATTGTCGACTTCTACTTAGTCGAAAGAAATTCGGTGACTTTGAACCAGTAACGTTCGAGGGTTGTTTCGGTTTTACGAGGTGACGAAACTTTGTTCGGCGAGAAGGGAGCCGAACTTTTCAAACCTCTCGATCAAGATGAAGGATTCGTCCGCTTCGGGAGCAAACAGTGGAACTTCTCCCTCCGTTATCGTTAATTAGTTGAAAGAAAATTCTGCGACAAGGTAGATATTGGCGAATATACCGCGATAGCGAACATGGGCAACGCGTCGGGTAGAATTCATCGCGAGTAATGCATATGCAAAATCACTGTGAAATATTGTTCCGGAAGCTGTGTCGGGAACCGTTAAAAAATGCTAACTCGTTTCGTGTCCGATGCAACGTTGCGAACCAGTGTAAATATTGGCGATGCGCGCGAACGAACGCTTCCCACGAAAGATATCGTTTTTTTTTAATCCTTGGAAAGAACGAGCGGACGCTCGACGGGAAAATGTTTGTCGAGGATTAATTGTTCGAAGAAGCGGCTGAAATACCACTCGGCAATGTGCCGTGTCGAGGGACAAACTCGACTGCAACGAAACGAGGATCCACTAATTGTCGCTCGAAGAGATTTATAAGTTGCGTAACTGCTTTACCAGCATTTTGGCTATTCCCACGAACCTGCTCTCTCGAGCTCCAAAATATCCTATTTTGGATATTTAGTCCTTTCATCTTGTTTTTTTCGAGCCTTAAGTTTCCTTTTTCGAGAAAGGAAACTTAATCTCGACAAAAGTTAGAAATTGGAAGGGTTCGATATCGTTACCCGACGAGATTTTGCATCTAATCGCTATTAATATTTGTCACTTTGCTCGGATATCAAGGTAACGTATGCATCGAGGAATTAACTCGGAGATCCAACGACCACGTTCACGCAACCCCACTAATCCTAGACGGTATTAAATTTGTACGTACCGGATTTATCTAACGTGGCGTATTCAAGGAACGTGGCTGTCCCGAGTTTTGACAAGGGTTGCCTCTATATTTCATTAGAGGCATCGCCGATATGAAAATCAAAGTGGTCGCCCGGAAACCACGATAATATTCTATTAAAGTAACGACGAGTTGTCGTTGATAAACGTTTCGCGGCGCGAAGCGAACGATTCCGTTCGTCTGCCTTGTACGGTTGTAATTTCGCGGAGAAATTGGCCGTGCAAAGAAACGCTTGCATGGGAAAGCACCGAAACCGATAGTGGGACACGCGAGAAGAGTCAGGGCACGTGTAAATCAGTCTTTATCCTAAATTCTTTGGGAGAAAATCCTCTGCGACGCGTTCGAGGGCGAGCCGGGTAAAGTATGTCGTCAGCAAGAAAGTCTTTGGCTGACGGTGAACAAAATACAGGCTGTTGAAAAGTTCCTGGCACGCCTTTCGTCCGACGCTTCGACGCTTTATCGACGTCCGCCCATCGAAACGGGTCGCAGCCCGCCCCGCGTGAAATCCTTCGAGCGTCGATGCACGCGCCGAAAACGTTCGCGAAAGAATGTTCGCGAGAGGGAGCCGCAACTAGGAGAATACTCGATCAAACTTTTTTTTCTCCTTCTCCTTTTTCCTCGAGCAAGCTACGGGAGTAAGCTACGCCGCGAACGAGAAGTACGCTTCATAAAACTCGTCTTTCTTCGCTTAAAAAAGTGAATTCCGCTCGACAAAATTATTTTACAAAACTTTAAGCCAAACTCGCGATAGACTCGTACATTTTCTTATCTCGGCTCTCTTCTGAACGATTACTTTCTCGCTCGAACGCGTAAACGCACTTCGGTATTTTATCCGAGCGATTCCATTCGTCTCTCGAAGCGATTCGCTTTTGCCGCAACGAGAACAAAGACCAGAATTTAGCCCCTCCGCGAACAAACAGTTCGATAAATCGTGCATTCGCGATTTATACGCGAAATCGTGTACAAGTGGCGACGCTCGGCCGTTAATTAACGGGGAAGTAAGTTTACTCGAATCCGTTTCCGTCTAATAAGATTCGTGGCAACGTTAATGGCTCGTTGTCGTCGTAATATTTACGCGGAACCGGCTAGAAAGCTGCCGTCGAATCGACCGAACGAGCGGAGGTATGGTTGAAAAAACGCAGCGAAAATACTGTTTTTTTAGCCGGTTAGCCGGTTTTTTTAGCTCGCATCTCCTGTCAACGATGTTCTCTGATGAATTTTTATGCTTCATCCGTTAGCTCGTCGACGCGGTCACGATTTAGCGAAATACACCGTATGACGAGCAAGAGAAGAGAGAGACATAGAGGTGGAGGGCTGATGAAGGCTCAGAAATATGCAAACGCATGCAACGTCCCCTAGAGCATCAGCTGTGTGAATTACGGCCCTGGCACATATTATTGTTCCGGGAGCGAAAACTCATCCGGCACGCGTACAAAGCGTGGCGAACCCGTCGCTAAAAGCCCCACGAAAAAAAAAGAAAATATTGCGCCCCCTTTTTGTCGCGTTCACTCTGGATTTCGTGCAAGCACGGTAGTTTAACCTTCCCTGGTGGTAACGTTCCCGATTTCGCGCGGGATTTCTTCTTTTTTCTAACCGTGCGCACCGAGCTACGTTAATCGTTGGTGATTCGGTCGCGATTCAATTTCCACGCGTTATATCGCCAGCGAAAAGGTAAAGAGAGCGAGAAAGAGGGAGAAAGAGAGAAAAGCAGAAGGGCCAGTTAAAAGTTGGAAACCGCGACCGTGTTAAGAAACGATCGCCGTGACAAATTGGACGCTCGTTACCGAAATTACTGGAACACGGTTCGGAAACCGCGTGCGTAGCCCTTTCATTCGGCTCGTGCCGCATTGTTCAGTTTATTTTGAAGTATGCGCTCCACAACGGAGCGTGCACAACTAGCTCGTCGCCGATAACGTCGCTTCCGCTTCGAGCCATGCGAATTCGAGCGTGTGATGCTCGTTCATTCCGGAACAACTGGCAGACAGTGGTTTCGTTATTATTAACGAAATGGTTGTCTCTTTCGTCGAGCGCGCGAATATGAAATTCGTGAACGTCGATTAGATGTTCGAATTCGTCGATGGATAAGGTTAAAAAGTAAACAGCGAGTACGGAACGGTACTATTTGCTTGTTGTTCCGGCGAAATCGACAGGTTTTGGCTAAATACTGGCCGCGAAATGGCGGGTAATCCGATTAAACGCGCGATATCCTATGAATAATAAAACGGATCTCGGGATAGTTACCGCTGGAAGTAGCTTACCTTCGTACACCCAGTCTGGTACTCCGTTATAAATGGTCCCGAAGACACCGGTATCCGTGATTGGATAGTCGACACCCACTTCCGCTTCCGGTCTGTAATAGATGTTGTTCTGATACACGTAGACCAACGCGTTCCCTCGAGGTGCCCAGGTAGCCAGTTGCAGGGAAATCGAATCGTTCGACGTCAACGACGTGTCCACCCTGAACAAAAATGTCGAAATATTTTTAAATCCGTTACCGAACGAACAAAGAAAAAGAAAAATGCAAAGAAACGTTAGCTCCGATCGATACCGCGTCGTTCTAGGGAAGTCTATATTTATATCTAAGCCGTTTTATCGACACAACGTTACCAAGATTATGGAACGACTATTCTCTCTATATTCTCTTCGTTTTATCCGGTTTCCTTCCCTCGATCATCGGAACCTTCGCTAATAACGCGGAATTTCTCGGAGCGAGGTAAACGATAACGCGATATATCGGGATATTTGCCTAAGCCTCGCAAACGATACAGCGTAGATAGAGAGGCAGCCGTATAACGTTCGGTACCGAAGTTAATTGAAATTAACTCCGTATTGTTTCTCCGAACTCGGTCGTCGAACGGATGAAAACGTTAAACGGGTGGGTTCGAAGATTCGTAAAATCGGTAGGATCGGTTTTGCGGCAGGAATCGATAGCGCGATGACATTCGATAAATTCAATCGGAATTACCGCGAATAAACTGACGACTCGATGTTCTACCCGATGTCGAACCGACGTCAAAAGGCGAACAAGCGTAGAGGCCACGGGGCGTGGAGACGACGCCGCGAGCGTGTTTCCGATTACCATCGAATGCATACGCGATCCTCTCGCCAGGATCCGAAGGATTCTTATTTTAGTAGCAGTAAAGTCGGTTCGGACGTAAACCAAAGCATCATGGCTCGGCGAAATCGCCGCATTACAGAAAACGATCCTTACAAAACCGACCAAAGGAGGAGAAGGAGGATTTCTTTCTCTCCGTTACAATCGCAACCTTGACGTTCGATTAATATTTATCTCGACCGAACGATCGATATTCGAATCCTTCGTCTACGTATCCTTTGTCCCAAGCAAACCGTGCCAGGGTTCGTCGTCTAATTGAATGGGAACAAAGAGCTTCGCGTTTGAACAAGAGACGTGGATGAACTCTACTCTTCCGATTTTATTTCCCTTTTTTTCTCTTCTTCCTCTTTATGGTGGAACGGTATGTTTTACGAGGACGTTTCGAGGACTTTCGTGATTCTTTCTTTGCGCAACGTGTTCGCCACCGCGAAATATTCCATGTAAGTAATCTCGCATTCGAGATTTGGTTCAGAGATTTTTATTGAAACAGAGATTATTGGAAGTTCTTTCGGAAAGCAGCGTCGAAAGATTCTGAATAATTAAATGGACGGTGTGTCGCTCTTAAAAGAAAGGACACGCTTTGGATCGACGATAACGAACGCGACAAAGTTTCAATCGGAAATCGAACACGATTATTTTCGACGAATCTACATAATACGTGTAACGATAAAAATTTGCGGAAACCCGAAGAGCAAGTATCTTGAGCAAGGAATTACTCTGTTCGGCCGAGCGGCGCGCATAATTTTCGCTCCTTGCGATTGATCGAAGCCCTTTTATATTTACGAGGACCGTTCGGGTATCGTCGGAATACGTTAATAGCTTCTAAAAGCGATCGTACCAAGCTCGAAAGGTATAATAAAGAAAGGTAAAGCGCGTTACGTTATTTCCTTCGCAGAAATGAAATTCGTATGCCGTATGCCGAGCAGATATACGCACGTGGGCGCTGTTGAACTCGGCTGAAATTAAATGGTGGCTTAAGGAATTTACGATGCTTGGCCAGGAACTTTGAGAAAGAAGAAGAGGAAGAAGATCCTCGGCCCTTTATTTTTTCGGAGACAAGTTTTTTAAGAATGCCTTAACGAAATTAATCTCGAGATCCCTCGAACAAATGTCTCGTTTGTTGAATTCGGTGAACAGGTTGGTTACGAAGAACCGACCGGTTAAAGAAGGCTGGGTATTCGGAGGATTAGATTTCGCGGGAGAAATGAATCATTCCTTTCTCTCTTTTTATACCCTTTTCAAAAATATTTCTCCGTCTCGTTTGCATTTTATTACCATTTTCGTTAAAGTATGTTCTACCGAGTTTGAATAAGAATACTCGGGATAGTTTGACCTAGCGATGTAAGATATTCGTACACGTCGATGTCGATGGTAATTTTTGCTTAAATAATAGTTTGATCGATACGGCGTATTGACGAAACGCTATCGTTTCCTCGGGTGAAGGTCGCATAGGTAATTGAAAGGGCTAGTGTTTGGAAGCGAGGTTCGCGGATCGAGCGAAAGCTGTCAGAAGGCGTTTTGGAGGAGATTGCGGCAGAAACGAAGAGAGAAATAATGGGGAGACGGAATTCGTAACGAGCTGTAACCTGCGCAAAGAGGAGAGGAAGCGGTCGACGTAAAAAGGAGGATCACGGAAAGAGGAAACGCCGCGGAGGAATAAAAGGAGCAGCGAGTATCTTGCACGACCGAGGGATTTTCTCGAATTTATAAAATGTATCATGCTCGGGCCAAGGGTGGAGTAAGGGCAGAGAGGAGGTGGTAAAATCGATGGAAAGTTTCGCGACTCGGCTCTGTCGTAATGCCAGAGTCGGTCTGACCAGCTTCTCCGCTCAAAGGAAACTCTTTCGCGAGCGGCCCATAAATAAAGACGCCGGTATTCGCGTGGCGTACAAACCCGGTTTTATATGGCCGAGAACTGGTCCAATCTTGCTAGGAAATACGGTTCGATCGTTGATTTCGGACGGCCCACACCGATTTCTTTAGCGGTAATCGACAAAGAGGACACGCTGCGACGGCGAATCTTTGGCGGTAGAACGATCGACGAGCGATTCGGGGGTTATCGCGGGACGACTTTGTTAAGAAAATGAAACGCCGACGGTTCCGAGCGGTCCAGGTGAACGGAAAAATGTTACGTATTCCTGGGATCGTGGCGCAACGTCGAACCGCTAAAACGGCTGCGTACTTTTCAAAGTTAAACAGGCAACGATTCGAGGTACAGGATCGAAGGAAAGAACGAACGAACGTAGCGAATCGTGCGGAATAAAAATTGATAGAATTCCGTGCGTTCGCATGGCCCGGCCGGAGTATCGGTCGTGATCAAATTCGTTTAAATGACTTGATCCGAGAGGGAAGGCCTGATTGAACAAACAGAGAACGGTCGGAAGCGGCCGGAATTCTTTTCCACCGCAACGATTTCGATGGAATTTTTCAATCGGATTGGAAAAAAGCTTCGAAACGTTTCGATTCGTTCGGATATCGTATAAATTCCGAAGAGCCGAATAACAAACGATGCATAATGCATACGATCCGATCGATCGGATCGATTAATCGGTCAGCTACAAAATAATCATCGCGAATTCTACGCTATTTTATCCTGTCGGTTTCCGGTTAATCGAATCTTTCCACGCGTACGCGTATCTCGTTAATTATCCGTTGTTAATTCGAACTTGATCGTTACCGGTTGATTCCTTTGAAGAGTAAGAAAACCTGATAGAGAGTTAATTATCGACGCAAACGAGGAAACAAGTTCATTATACGGTTCGGTAGAGCGAACATGCTAACTATGGCCGATCGTTTGTAGTTAGTTGCTTTTGGTGGATTCGGTTCAAAGATAAATTAGCTATGCCAGAGTCGGTCTGACCAGCTTCTCCGCTCAAAGGAAACTCTTTCGCGAGCGGCCCATAAATAAAGACGCCGGTATTCGCGTGGCGTACAAACCCGGTTTTATATGGCCGAGAACTGGTCCAATCTTGCTAGGAAATACGGTTCGATCGTTGATTTCGGACGGCCCACACCGATTTCTTTAGCGGTAATCGACAAAGAGGACACGCTGCGACGGCGAATCTTTGGCGGTAGAACGATCGACGAGCGATTCGGGGGTTATCGCGGGACGACTTTGTTAAGAAAATGAAACGCCGACGGTTCCGAGCGGTCCAGGTGAACGGAAAAATGTTACGTATTCCTGGGATCGTGGCGCAACGTCGAACCGCTAAAACGGCTGCGTACTTTTCAAAGTTAAACAGGCAACGATTCGAGGTACAGGATCGAAGGAAAGAACGAACGAACGTAGCGAATCGTGCGGAATAAAAATTGATAGAATTCCGTGCGTTCGCATGGCCCGGCCGGAGTATCGGTCGTGATCAAATTCGTTTAAATGACTTGATCCGAGAGGGAAGGCCTGATTGAACAAACAGAGAACGGTCGGAAGCGGCCGGAATTCTTTTCCACCGCAACGATTTCGATGGAATTTTTCAATCGGATTGGAAAAAAGCTTCGAAACGTTTCGATTCGTTCGGATATCGTATAAATTCCGAAGAGCCGAATAACAAACGATGCATAATGCATACGATCCGATCGATCGGATCGATTAATCGGTCAGCTACAAAATAATCATCGCGAATTCTACGCTATTTTATCCTGTCGGTTTCCGGTTAATCGAATCTTTCCACGCGTACGCGTATCTCGTTAATTATCCGTTGTTAATTCGAACTTGATCGTTACCGGTTGATTCCTTTGAAGAGTAAGAAAACCTGATAGAGAGTTAATTATCGACGCAAACGAGGAAACAAGTTCATTATACGGTTCGGTAGAGCGAACATGCTAACTATGGCCGATCGTTTGTAGTTAGTTGCTTTTGGTGGATTCGGTTCAAAGATAAATTAGCTAGTATTTCCACGCGGAGAGAATATCTCGATCGAGTTGGCAGATTTACAGGTACGTTCGCGGTTCGTCCTGCGAAACCGAATTTATATTTCGACCCGAAGCTTCTGGATTAACTCAGATTTCGGAACTTTCGAAAGCCGTACCAACGACGTCCGGCCGACGCTGATTTTCAAAATCCACTTCAGCGTGCGCGACAGTTCGCTCGATTAGTTTCGCTTTCGTTCGTTTACATCGACTCTTTGACGAAATATCGCGTTCGAGAAAGGGTATCGAAAAGGGATGTCCAACATTTCGGCAACGCGGCTTTCAAAGATTAAAATAGCGCTCGTATCTCGCTTCTCTTTATTACAAAGTTTGCTTTCGCGCGTTATCGTTCGTGGCACGAATGTCCCAGGACTGGGTATCGAGCCGGATAATCGCGCGATAACTATACAATCTTTTATTTAAAGCCATTTAACCGAAAATAAAGAACGTAAGTTGGCGAGTAAAAAGGAGAGAGGAAAGCGTCGGAAAGCGAGCGATGTTCGCGCGTTAGCGACAGCGAGTTATTGGCAAATTGAAATCCCTGAATTCATATCGAAGGAGCGCGGGCGACAGGCGACGAGCGAATTTCATTTTCGTTGGCACATCGAAAATTCGCTGTGCTCTTAGCAGCGAACGCGTCGCCGAGAAGGTAAGAAAAATGTAGGGAGCAGTTCGATAGCGCGCAGTTCGCCGGGCCCACCGCGTTCGACCCTCGTCGTTCATCGCGCCATGCAGGTCACGTCAACCGAGTCATTCATGCGCGTAGCCCTACTACCGACACTCTTTCTCTTCTTAACTTATCGAATAGTTTCGCAACTTTGCTTCTTTCTCGAGATGGAAAACTGCTCTCTAGACCGATTTGCATATTTATGATGCATTTAAGAAAGGCGGCACGCGTATCTTCTACCGATATAACCGGCCGACGTTACGGGGAACGAAGGGCGATTAAAATAGTATGACCGGTATTATAATCGCGTTTATGTACGAACTTCGTTCAGAATTATGTTTGCGGAAGATATTAAATTCCGTGTCGAGTCAAGTTCGACGCGCGCTGCCAAGAATTAATTATCGTGATTTGTAGAAATTAGTGGAACCGTAGTGAATTGTAGCGTTAACGCGTTGAGTGCTACAGCGAAAATGGCCATGCGTACAACGGCGCGTTACAATAACGATTGCTAAAGACTCCTTATACCATTAACCCTTTCTCTACAGAAGCTGTATACGTTCTCCGAAAGCAAGTAGCTCATTAACGAACACCGATTATTATCGTACTTCTAAATAGCTACCAGAGATAACTTTTCCCATAAAACGAGACGTGCATGTACCGTTTATCGAACTCTGTCCCGTACACCTTACGTAATTGAGACACGTACATAGTTCGATTACGCCGATTTCGAGTGTATTTTTGACGAAATTTCGGAAAAAATCGAGCACGCGGAGAAGGCAGACTCCGGTAATTTAGCTTCGTTTAGTCAAAGTTTCGAGCACGTTACAACAATAGTTTGAACCACGGTAATAACTGAACCTTCCGCGGTGTGGTAACAGCAAAACTTACCATTCTAGTTGCTGTTATAGAAACAACTTTGACCATTCGTAGCAGTTACATTTCTGGTTAGAATATCAGTTACAAGGTCTCGCGAAAGCTCGCAGATTTTCACCCAAATATTATCCGGAAGCTCCGAATATTTCCGAAAATTCGGTCGAGTTTCTCTACTTCGGCGAAGCGTTAAAGTTCGGACTTTGTAATTACGATTCGATCATACCGAAAGCCCTGCGTTCTTTCGTTTCCTCTAATTTTTGGCCACCTTTGCAGCAGGCAATTTCGTCGACGAAGCAATCGCGCCGGATGTCAAAGAGAACCTGTTCCTCTCCGTTCGTCGGTCCTAATTGGGATCGTTTGTAACGGGTTATCGGTGCACGATCAAGAATGTCGCAGGAACACGAATCGGAACTTTTTACCCCACTTTGCACGAAAACGTTCTTTGTAACGCGCTTGGCCGTCGACCGCTCGAGATTCGAGACTCTCGATGACGCTTTAGATCGCTAAACGTTCAATTCCTACGCGTTAAATCGTCGAAAATTAAATAACGAAACGAATCGCGTAGAACGGTTCGAGTTATCCGGGTTGTAGTTGTCAGCGAGATACTCGAGGTTCCTCGACTGTTGGAGGACCGCGACGAACTCGAGCGTTCCCTCGAAAGTCATTAAAGAATAACCGAGAAGCATCGTGACTCCTCTCGGTGTTTTCCTAACTGTATAGGATTCCATTCGAGTTTGAAATACGACCTTTGTTCGTCGATGAAGCGGTTCAACTCGAGGCCGAAGGGTTCAACTTCCGAACACGCGGTGTGTTTTTAAGCTCTTGACCGAACGATACCCTTCCAACGATATTGCTCGTTACGTTTTCACGTGACTTTTCTCTTCAACTTTTGCAACTTTCTCGAGAGTCGTCAGCTTGCGGCGAGGATTCGAGGAAAGCGATTTTCGACATAATTCGAAACGACTAAATCGGAGGTTCCGGGGGAAGTAAACCGCTTCTAGTCGCGATTCTTTCGGCGACGCGGTCGGAAAAGAACGGTTACAATTTGAGCTAGACACCTAGTTTGTCACGTCGCGTACGCGGCGAAACAACCCTTAAACCCTCGTTCGGTTACCGAATGAGCACCACTGTCCCCAGAGAGAATAAGGGAAAGGGTAGAATTTTCCGGAGAGAAATTCGCGGCGGACGAACGAGCACGATTAAGCCGCTGGCAAAGAGGGTGAAAACGAATTGGAGGCGAGCAGCGCCGGCACTAATCGTAATATAAGCACTCTTAAACGGCGAATTAACGTCCAGATCCAACGCTAGGGGGGATGAACTTCTCCCCTTTTTCCAGCTGGAGAGTAGGGATAGGCAGGAATAAGGGAGAAGGGAGCAGGAGGCTGTGCAGTGACGCGTTTCGCGGCTAAGACGAGTTCCCGTGAAATTCGCGAGCGTAATTTGCACGCCGCCAGGCTTTTCCAGTCGTCGCTGCGACGACGCCAAGATTAAAATGCAAATCTAAAAGTCTGCCTGCCGGAAATAAGTTTGAGATACGATTATCCTAAATGGGCAAGCGCGGCTCGTTTACTTACAAGGTTTCCAAGTTCACGATCCTGTAGCGGGCCAGGTATGTGCGTCGATAGAGCTGTAACAGAAAAGAACAGGAGAAACGGTGAATGTTTATTTGCACAGTCTGCTGGCTCAACTTGCCTGGGAAATTGGACTTGCGCGAAATGCTTTTAACGGTTAAATAAACGCCCTACGGTTCTTCTGGCTTTTCGCTTTTTTCTCCTCGTTTAATATATTCCTGCAGACAGCGGAGCGTGTTGGATGTCGAGAGTCGAGGACGGTGAAATGGAACGGCGTATGTAAGTCGATTAAAAGATTATCGACTTTAAAATGTACCGAATCTCTAGGTGACTCGAAAAAATTCTCTCGCCTTGTAACTTCGAAATTCGTTGAAACTTCTTTGCGACTATCTTGTTCGAGTTGTTCTCGTAAAAGAAAACGAGGGCGCAGCCTTCGGAGAAGGTTTGTCGCGACGAAAGAGGAATTAGAATTCTATTTCCCATCTAAACGTTGGAACGATAATCCGTTCGATAAGCAGGAGGAAAAGCTAGAGTCGTTAGGAAGAGGTCGGGAGTATAGCGCAACTGGAAACGCGAAGAGAGAAAAGAAAAGAGAGGTCGGCGTTATTGCGTCGTGTCTGGAAGTCGATAGGAAATTTTTGCATTTGAATTTCTCCGTGAAAGAAAAGCGATAATGGACGCGATAAGGGTTTCTCTACGACCTATGAAGCATAAGGGAAGAACGTTGCAGTCGTAACCGGTTACGTTTACAAAGATAAGAACGGCCGAGACGATCTCGATACTCGTTCACGGACAGATCTGCTTACCTTCCTTCGCGAAACCACGCGAAACGATTCGGAACACGAGATACGTGTCCTTTTTCTACCGCGAAACGCGATAAGTGTATACGTCTTCCGAGTTACTTACGGAAAAATAGAAACGCCCGGAGTGTTTGAAAAAGGTATCGCTGAAAAAAACGCGTACCATTGGCCACCAAATGGAATATACCAGTTTGATCAAACGAATCGAGTAAAATGTCGACGGTATTCCAGAGAAGATGCTCTCCTTTTTATCTGTCGCGTAACAGACGCGATGTTCCTCGTCGAAGTAAATTTCGCTAGTAAATAACAAACGCGAAATCTGCTCTTCCTCGATAGCATCTAACACGCCTGATCTGTTTTCTGTCCGTGATGTTTCGCCACCGTCTCGACTCTTTCGGGACACGATCTCGTGCATCGCGTCATCCCGATAAAGCCGTTATAATGCCAGTTTAAACGCGTTGCACACGATTATCGATCTACCTGTCTCGCTTCTGCACGAACGATTCTCTTTGCGCGCGTTTCGCCTTCGCGACGCGAGATAATCGGTCGCGACACGATTTACTTTTGCCATTTACGATTGCCGCCACTTACGGCTTGTTATCGCGATCGTAACAAAATAATTTTCTTTAAAAGCGCCCCCTCGCCTCGGAAGAGAGAGTCAGGTGCAAAGGGTCGGTATACCGAACGATCTGTTGGAAATACAGCGAATATTTTGCAAACCATTTGAAAGTTTCTTTTAATTTATACATATATAGTTGCGTTCGATGGAAAACAATTTGAAAGAACGCGATTTCGCGCTGTTCCTCTATTTTCCGAAGGAACGCATAAAAAAAATAGAGAATGAAAAAAAATCGAGTTTAAAGGATGACCAGGTACGCGCTTCGTCATGCAAGGCTGAAAAAGCAATTTTCTCGAAAACGACACCCTGTTGCGAATACAATTTATTTGTTTTAGAAAATGGTCTGCCGCGCTTGCCCATGTGATCTAAATAGAAACCAGTCAACTTGGCGATATCGCGACGATTCTCGGTACAGGTAAACATATTTTTCGTTTTCATTCGGCAAATTTGAACGAATGAACGAACGAAAATCCTTTTTGAGCGAAGAATCATCGATAAAAGCGAGAGAAAAAAACTAGCGAATAACGACAGATTAATCGAGCGTGCAGCTCGAACGGTTAATTATTCGCGTTTCAGCCTCATGAATGGCGCGGGCAACGATCAATCGAACGCGAACGGATTTCGCACGGAAGCGGCGGCCGTGCTCGCTCGAAAGAGATACGATTTTTGCAAATATTTTCGCGACGGATTTTATCGATCGATCAAGCATGCGAGAGAATTTGATTCACGGCTGAAAAATAATAGCCATCTGGAATCAATGGATTGTCCGAGTCTTTGTGTACGGCTACATATTTGCTTTTTAACCTCGGAATACGAGAGCAGCTTTTTTGTTTTAACGAATTAAACGAAAAGATTAGTAAGTCGATTCGGCTTCGGTTCTCGACCGATCGTCCGATGGTGCGCGTTAATTTAACTTTGATTATGTTCGCATATTTTATCGGCCGGTATAATGTCCGTAAAACGTATTACAATTGTATTTCAACAATTACCGTCGTATCGTTTAATTTATACATCGTTAATCGAAGCGTAATATTGTAACGTTGGAACAGTTTGTTTTTCCCGTTCGTTCGAACATTAATTAAATGGTCCACCGTTACGTGTCGTAAATTAGTCGTTTTTCTTGGCTCGTTCGACCGAAGAAAAGGTTCGCGAGCGAATTTCCGAGAGTTCGCGACGATTTCATTTGCGGCTTCAGCCAGAAACTCGATGGAATCCCGTTTTGACGCGGACTTTGCGTAGCTGCGCTCGCACCTCGGTCTCTACGATTTCGCGATTAATTGGGAAACTACGAAACTTCGATTTTACGAGACAACGCTGGCTGTTGCGGCTACGACTTGTACAATTCAATTTCTGGTCGTCGCGCCGCCACGGATCTCGAGCCATTAAATTTGTGAATTCGCTTCGCGCTAATCCGAGATCAGCCGGCGAATTTACAACCCTCGGAATAGTTCCACCTTCGTTGCTGCGCTTCGTTTAATTTCCAGTCGATTTGGAAATTCTTCCGGTCTCGTATAATCGCGGTACACCTGTGATTTTCGAACTTCCGAGACCAGAGCCAACCAAGCTTCCGGTTTAGTTCGCGATTTTACAGCTTTCTAAACTCGCGCTCGAGTAACTCGTTGCTTCCGAATCGTAGTTTTGCAATTCAACCCCGTAATACGAACCTCTGCTTTAATTTCGACTCGAGCTTACTACGAACACGGGTTTTTACTTTCCTGGCACGGCTTCCGATTCTCCGGAAGAACAGCCGCGCTTGTTCGATCGTGAATTTCCACCTACCACCGATTTCGAGAAAACGCGATTAGCCCATACTCCAAATAAATCGGAACTTCCCTCATACGTCGAATAATCGTTTTTTAATATCCCGCGGTAATAAAGTTAACGTTCGGACAACGATAATTAATGGTGCATCGATGAATTTAATAAGGTAGATCGATTAATCAACGAGGAGACTCGATCGGCCGCGAATTAGTCCATGCCAGAGAACGTTTCGAGAAAATGTGCGGTGAAACTTGAGCGTAACGGCACGATGTCGAGGTAATTTCAAAGAAATAATTAATAATAGGCACACGAGTTATCCGTGGTATGGGCTTTTTGTGTCGGTACTGTATAATTCCGCGTCCTTGCCGAAACCGCGCCAGAGTTTAACAAGTTTTCACGGAAGCTCAAGCTTCGCCGCCTCGGTTATTATATTTATCAAAGTTTTTCCACGCGGCTTGTAAAGTGATTAAAACTTTCCCGTTCTATTTTACCGAATAACTGTGGCAGCCTGTTTTCTTCCGCTCTCTGTATCGTTTTAAACGATCATCTTTCCATTATACTAAGTAATCGATAACGACTCGAGAGTAGGACTTTTTTCTCTTTTTACCGAGTATTCGTTAAATTCGACGAGTTTCACGGCATTCGTTACGTCGCGACGTCGCGACGCATCGCTGAGAAAGAATTACGCGATTATCTTTCCAGAGACATCTGTTCATAATTGTTCGTTAGTTCGTTTCTGCATTCGTCCTCGTGTATTCTTTAGCCGCAGACGGATCAAGTCTCGTGAATATAACGCTTTAGATTGCAGCCCGCGGGAAGTTCACAATTCCCGTGATAAAGGGGCAAGAAATACGAGCAGAATGCATGCGATAACCTCTGGACGGAAAACTTGAGACGCGATAAAAAGGCGTGGAAAACAAGATACCGACTGTTCGAAGAATGGAGAACGAAGACAATGTAGGTGGACGCGAGAGGAAGAGCATCGAGTGGCGTGGATTACGAAAAAAATTCACACCCCAACGGGTTTACACCGTAATATCCACTCACAACGTTAATAGGAAGCTGCTTTCCGGACGTTGCCTCCGTATTTTAACGTAACTAAGTAGAGAAAAAGCGGAATAAATTATAAAATCGAAGCGTCGTTTTTTTTTGCTCGTAAGCGGTGCGCGCGTCGCCGATTCTTCGGACAGATCCGTGATATCTGTAGTCGATCGTATCGTCTCCTATAAGTATGATGCACGGACAAAGAAAAAAGGATGCGAAGTCGTGAAATATTTCCATAATGAAGCGTCAGTAAAAATAGAATGTGAAAGCGAGTAACGGACATTTCTGTTACCGATATCAATTATTCATTTCGCTCTACACCGGTGGCTGAAGCAGGAAAATTACAAGCGTTAAACGTTCCGCAATCCCGTAGCAATTTAATTCTTGTCGCGGAAAAAATTCTCGCGATCGATAAAATCCATAACAACGAATCGCGCGACGGAGAAATGCAATGTGACGGAACGACCGACCGACGTAAATAAATGAAAAGAGCAGAAATAAGTAGAAACTGACGATTCGGGAGTAGAAGAAAAGAATAATCGTCGGAATCGAGTTTATAAAGCGTGAGAAATTTCATTCTTCAGGGTTGCTGCGTATTATCAGCGACTGCGGATGCTGGTGCAAGAGCCAGGCAGAAAGCGATGAAAAATTAATCGTTAAAACGAAGCGTCGAAACCGCCGGGAGAATTGAAGATTTTTCGCGTTTTCCGCTCAAACGAATTCGCCGTTGCGGCATCAGCGTGTACGTAAACGAAACGATGGGGGATAATCGTAAAAAAAACTAGCATAAAATAATGAGCGACCCTCGAAGAAACAACCCATCCACATAAAA